CACACACACACACACACACACACACACACACACACACACACACACACGCGCGCAGACACTTAGGAAACGCCTGACATTTCAGATTCCAGGAGGGGGCAGTGTTGGACACACAGGGCACGAAGCTGATGCTTCTCACCAAATCCAGGCTTTTATTTGGTCTTTCTGCCCACGTATTCTAAACACAACAGAATTCATTTTCCCTCGTGATTAAAATTACTTTAAAGATGTGAATTTCAGATGAATCCAAGGAGTAAAACAGAAGATGAGGAATCTGTCTTCCCCCATGAGATGCTCTTTGGCCCCAGGCTTGCCTGGGCCCACTTCGGAGTCCCCTCCCTTCTGCCCTGAAAGCTGCTCTTGGTGGGGGGTGGGGAGGAGGCAGCTGTCTACTGCCCATGGGGATACAGAGTCATCTAAATGAGGTGTCAGGTAAGCCGTCCTCACGAGTCTTGGGACTTGTCTCAGTTCCCAATAGACTAAGGCAGGGGGTGGGAAGCCTGCAGCCTCAAGGCTGCAATGTGGTCCTCTAAGTCCTCAAGAGCGGCCCTTGGGCACTTGAAGACCTAGAGGGCCACACATTCCCCACCCCTGCACCGGGATCACACGTGTGGGAAATGTGAAACATGACAAACTGGCCTTGTTTTTTGCAGATACTTTGTCACCGGCGATGTCAGAGGTCACATTAGGTTCTATGATAGCAAGCTGTCGCTGGTTAACTGGTACAGCCAGTTCAAACTGAGCCCCATAGTAATGCTGTCCTTTTCAAAGAACCCCGTCTTTCCTGTGGGGGATAAATCAAGCTTCCCATCAGACTGCACCCTTCCTGGCAACCCTTTCATTGTAAGGTGAGTAGGGCAGGCTCTGCTGAGCTGCCTTAGTAACCATAAACCGTTTCCTTGTACTCTCGGAAAGTCCTGGTGCATGGTGTGTACGCATGGCCTCTCCCTAGAACGTGAGCGAGCTCCTGGAGGGCAGGGCCTGTTTCATTTCCTTGATGCCTAACACTTACCCAGTTTGCCCACTCCTTGGATAGGAAATGTCACTTACTGGCCTGCAAAAAACTGACTCCCACTTAGCTGATAACTGTATTGCTAATGAATAAAGTTTCAAATACTTGATAAACCTTTAAAAAAAAAAAAGGAATTCAGCATCTTTGTGTGAAACCCGTGAAGCTCCTGGGTTTGGCACTCCCATGCCTGTTGAGTTTGGGTTCCCTCCTGTGCAGTTCTATCTCCTTTTCTTCTCCCAGCTCTGTCCATCCTAGCTGCTGCATTTAAAGATGTCTGGTAATTAATAGCCATAAATTTTCAAGACCAAATTGTCAAATGAGGCTGTTTAATTACCCCTACAACATTTACAGGCACATCTGCATATGTGCACCGAACTCCACATTTGCATACACAAATGAATATTTGCATGTGCAGATTAGCTAATTGTACAACTGACTGTCCATCTGCATACTTAATGACTCAATTTGCATCTTGAAATGTGGGCTTTTTCACTTGCAAATGGGTGCTGTTCGGTATTGATGGTGTATTTTTGGAGATGTAAGGTTAATAATGTCACAAAATTACAGACACAGAGTGGTTTCATATGCAATTAGGAACTGAATGGCTGTTGTGCCCCAATTCCCCACAAATGCTGACACGGCTTGGTCTCTCCTTGGCAAACAGAAATTTTATCATTGGCACATCTGATGCCAGAGTGTACCATTTAACGACAGATGGGACCAAACTAGAAGAAGTCTTGATTGAGCCCAAGGAAGCCATTCACGCCATCGCTTGCCATCCCTACAAGCCCCTCATTGCTATTGGGAGTAACTGCGGGCTGCTCAAAATGTGGAATTATCGGAAGAAACTCTATGTAGTGAGCAGGATCTTCGAGGACGGGCTGGGCGTCCAGAGCCTGACCTTCAATCCCGAAGGTATTTATTTCTTCTTTGGTGGGCCTTCCCAGGCTCCACACGTGAAATGTCGTGGGAAGTGACCGAGTCTTTCTGAGTCCTTGTTCTCCGGCCTGTGTTGTCAGGGTATCTTTTGGGGGCTGGCTGCACCGAAGGGACGGTTTACATTATGGATGCTGTGTCGCTAGAAAACGAGACTCCAGAGCCTTTCAAATATTCCAGAGGCAAAGTGACTCTTATCAGCTTCTCCCATGACTCCGAATTTCTGGCAACTGCTGTAAGTATTTCCACCGAGAAGAAGAATCCAAGGACATCTTGGCCACTCTGGAAGCCAGACTAGTTTAAAAAAAAAAAAAGAGGGTGGAGGGGCCTCCTTGTTCAGGGATATTTGGGTCCTTCCACGTCCTGCTTCTGCCAAGGACTCACATGGTAAGTGACTTGCCTGCGTTAGCCCTAGTTTTCTCCTAGCGAGCGGTGTTGGCCGTCACTATCTTGCTCAGGAAACTGCAGGGGCTCCCTGTTACCTCTCCCAGAGTCCTCCGACAAAGCCATTCACAGAGCTACTCATGCTCTGGCTCTGAACTTGGCTCAGACCCTGTGTTTCAGGCAGTTTGACCTGCTTCCTCTTTGCCTTCTAAGGCAGCCAGAGTCCTGGAATCAGGGAGACCTGAGTTCAAGCCCTGCCTCAGACGTCCCTGGCTTTGTGAAGTCACTTCAGTCTCTGTTGGCAGCAGTTTTCTCATCTGTAAAATACGGATGATGGGAGCATTTCCCTTCCAAGGTTGTCGTGAAGATCAAGGTACCAGAGACATGCCATCAATGGCTATTAAGGCAGCAGAGCCATTCAAACACATGTCTTCCTCTCTTTGTCTCTAGCTTTCCTCAAGACTCAGCTCAAGAGCCTGATTCCCCCCTCCAGCTACTAGTATTACTGTTTTTTACTTTGTATGCATTTTGATTTGTCTCTGTATATAGCATCTTCCCCTCCTTCATCCCTCAGTAGAATGTGGGGGCCCTTTCCAGTTGTCCTGACCTATGTCTGGCCACTGGACCCAGATGGCTCCGGAGGAGACAGTGAGGCTGGTGACCTTGCACAGCCCTGCCTCACTTAAATCCAATTCACTTGCACGTCGTGGCATCACCTCCCTGATGTTGTGGTCCTCTTCTAGAACAGAGGACAAACAGCAGCGACAGCAGCAGTAGAATGTAAGCTCCTTGAGGGCAGGGTCCGCTTTGTCTTGTCTTGTCTTTCCACCCTTAGTCAGCACAATGCCTGGCGTACGGTGTGGGCTTAGTAAATTAGTAAAATGTGCATCGGTCTGTCGCCAAGGAGAGGTTTCTGTTAACTGTACTGAGGCTGATGGAGGTGAATGGAATTTCCCCGATAAAACATTCGAGAAGGCTGATATCGGGGTTAGAGAAATGATGAGAATTCTTGAGTTTTTAAAGTGTGCATTGGGCTTATAAATGATGAGAGGAAAACCCACAGATTTTGGGAATGATTGAATTCTTTTACTCTCATTCAGGATGTAAATTTTACTGTGGCAGTTTACAAGATAGTGATAAAAAATGGAGAAAAGGTCTGGGAATATTTAGCAAGACTTCGTTCTCACCACAAAAAAATCCAAAGTTTGCTGTTTGGGATTCAGCCGGACAACAACGAGCCCAGACTCCTCAGCCTTGGCAAGGACAGATTGCTGGTAAGTCGTCATCAGCTTGCTCCTTCGGTGACCCTCTTAAATGTAGAGTTTCTGCTTGAAAAGGAGGTAGCACTGCCTACTCGGGCCTTTGCTGGGCTGAAGTGTGGAAGGGAAAGCAGGTTCTCCACCTCTTGTACGCTCACAGGACCTCATAGGCCTTCTGGTCTGACAGCCTATTTTACAGATACGTAGACTGAGGCCCAGAGAGCTGAAGGGGTTTGCTCAGGGCCGTGTGGTAGTAAATAGCAGAGCTGAGAATCGCACCTAGAGCTTCTAGCCCCAAACATGGTGTTCTGTCCTCTGAGATGTTTATGGAGAGACCTGGGCCTCGGGAATTCTGAGAAAAAGGAAACTGGAAGGCGCGTGACACTGGCGCTTTGCCTCCCCAGTTCCATCAAGTAGGGGATTCTGACAACAGCCCCTCTTAAATCCAGGGCCTTCCCTCTTGAGATTATCTCTTATTGATCCCGAGTGCCTCTAGCTTGTTTGTGCATGTTTATTTGCATGTTCTACCCTGTTAGATCACAAGCTCTTTGAGGGCAGAGCCTGTCTTTTGCCTCTTTTTATATCCCCAGCGCTTAGCACAGTGCCTGGCCCATGGTAGGTGCTTAACAAATGTGACTGCTGACTGACTGATTGTGGTAGAAGTGGGGTTGTCACCCCAGGGGTCCTAGTGCTACCTCTTCTATAATACGTGGGCATGGATTATTCACAACAGTAGTTTATAAAGGTCTTTGAGACGTTGATGCTTGAAAAGTGACATGAAGAATAGAAAGACCAGGGACCGAGAGTCAGGAGAGGTCTGGGTTCAAATCTCACCTCTTGTTAGCTGTGTGACCATGAGCACCAAGTCACTGAATCTTTCTGAACCTCAGTCTCTTCATGAATAGAATGGTTAGATTGCCTATAGCAGCTATCTCACAGGATTATTGTGAGGATCAGAGATAGTGCTTTAGGTAAAGCACTTTCTCCTACACTATGTAAGCCTCTCAGTGCTATATGAATGTCCCCTAGTCTAATTATTACTCTTACTATACAACCACCCAGGTGACACAGTAGTTAGAGCACTGGGCCTGGAGTCAGGATGACCTGAGTTCAAACCTAACCTCCGTCTGCCTCAGTTTCCTCATCTGTATAATGGGGGTAATAGTAGCGCCGACTTCCCAAAGTTGTGGTGAAGATCAAATGAGATAATATTTGTTTAAAAAAAACAACTTGCTAAGCGCAGTTCCTGGAACATATTCAGTGATTTATTAATGCTTGTTCGCTTCCCTTCCCTCCAGGACCAGGGACGTAGACAAGGTGGGCATCTACCTAGAGTGGGGGGGAGCAGCCAAAAATAGCTTTTATTATGGTCCTTCTTAGGAATTTATATATTCACCCACCTTGAATGGCAAAAAGGCAACAGAGCAAAGCAAAAAGGGAGCCCTCGCCCCGAAGGCGCCATGGTTGTGGGGAAGGCTCTGGAGCTCCCCCTGCTGGTTCCCGCTTCTCCGCCTGACCGTGTGGCGGGGCTGGGGTTCCTTTGCAGATAGAGTACGATCTCCTCAGCAGCACCAAGGACCACCTGGAGGTCCTGGACATCCATCGCACGGACCAGGAGGCCATCCCCAGGTGTATGGTCTGGTACCCGCCAATCACCCGAGAGGCCTTCTTGCTCATTTGCAACAGCGTGTACAAAGTGAAGCTGTTTAATTCCACCACCAAGATGTGCAGGTAACCAGGAGGGTCCCTGGACGGGATCTCCCTTCCCAGATGGTCAGTCCCAGGCGCCTCGTCCTGCTGCCGAGTCTGGAGCAGACTTTTCAGTTTGGGGAGAATCGGGTCCCCCTTTAGTGCAGTAGGATGGGAAGGAGGGAAATGGCTCCCTCCAAAGAGGCCGCAGAGTGTGGTGCCTGCATGTTGATGCTGGTGGTCACTCACCCATGCTTCCAGGGCTCCTGGGGCTGCTGGGGGGGCACCCACACCTGGCGGGCATTGCTTCCCACCCCCTCAGAAAGCCCTGGGCCCTGGTTTTGGCAGCCACTGGACTAAGAAAGAGATGAGGCCCTAGGGAAGAGAGACAGAAAACAAGAGTGATACAACACTGGCCAGCCATGTTGGACAGGGCCTGGCTGTAGCAGCTGATGGGTGGTACTGGACATCAGGCCGTTGCTGGGGAGCCGGGGGGACCAGATGCCCTCATTTGACAGAGACAGCCGAGGCCCAGTGTCAGCTAGGACGTGCCCGTGGGAAGATCACAGCCCAGGTTTCCCTGAGCTTTGAGCCCAGCGTTCAGCTGCTCTGTTCCACAGCATGTCAGCCAAGACAAGAGTCTTCCGAGGATGAAGACCTCCTGGGGCAGGGTGTGATCTGTATGAGAACATGATCTGTGACTTCATGACTGGGGAGAGCCCCTGCCCCTCCACTCATCACCAGCCTTCTCGGGGCAAGCGATGCCTGCCTGCTGCCCCTAGAGATGGACGTAAACATGCTAGCTCGTCCCCGGAACAGCCGGTGAAAACTCACATCCAGATAGACTTTAATGGCAGCTAGGCCGTGGGGCGGGGGGAGAGAGAAGGGGAAGGAGAAGGCACTTTAGGGGATGAGGACAAGAGGGAAACAGCGCAATGCCTCCCACCCCAGTCAGTCCTTTATGGCACACCTGCTGTGTGCCAGGCCCTGTGCTGGGCACTGGCCACATACAACCCCAGAGATGGAACACCCAGAGAGCCGCAAGAAAGAAACATTGGAAAGCAAGAGAGAGCGTGTTGAGATTCAGAGCTTCAGTGCCTCTGGTACGAGGGGCTGGGCGCTGTGGAGCTCTGGTTGCTGCTGTTTTAACCATGGGACAAGAGTCACTTAGGTGGTTGTTCGCCTCCCACCCCACTGATGACAAATCTGAAATGAGGGTAAAGCAGGTGAGAGGGATGATGAAAGCATTTCAGAGTAACTGGGGGGAGGACCAGTCGGAATTGGTGATGTGGAAGTAGTATCGATTTTTCCAAACTCCCTAGTTCATTACTTCCAGCAATTCAGACTAGGAAAGCGGCTCTATCAATTAACTCCTTAAATAAACAGATCCGAGTAATTTATATTATATCAGTATATATTACATGTAACGTATGTTATTTATTATATTTGTATTACAAAAGTGTGTGGTTTTGGAGTAGGAACGGGCCATTTCTATAGTACTCCTGGTCCTTTTTAGTTTTACATTTCCGATGTCCTGCTGAATCTTAGTGAAGCTCAGTAATGTCAGTATCTATGAGGGAAATATCTGCTGAGGTCACTTTAGGCCCACCTCGGGCTGTCATTATCCCATCCTCCGGGGCCCTCCTGGGTTTCATCTCTCTGGGAAGGTGCGATTTGACCTGAAGCAGTTTAATTTACACACCATTTTTCAGGAACCCCTCCATCCCATGGGCCAGGGTACACCTGTAACAGCCAAGTAGCAGAACAATGGAAAACATCATAGTCGGTCCTCACAGCCGGCCCTGCGGAGCTGGGGCTTTCCTTTCATGCTGCTGGCATAGAACAGCTCCTTGCTGCTTCTTTGTCCCAAGGCATTATATCCATCTCTCTTAGTCACCCCAGGGGAAAGTCAGAATCACAGACTACTTAAAAACCTTGCTTTTTGCACAAAGCTTTCTCCAAAGTGTTTGCTCTTTGGAACTGCACCGGCATACCGGGCCCGCTTTCTTTGAAGTAGTTGTTAGCGATGGTAGATGGCAGTGGGTGAGTTGTCCACGCGTGTCCCAGTGCCCTGGTGGGAAATTCAGACCCAAGGGACAGAACTTTGTACCTTTTAAAAGCATGGTGCCTCAAACCCACCAGAGATTCAGGATAACCAGTGTGTGTTTACATTTTGATCTTTGGAACAAAAATAGACAAACTTGTTTTTGTTTGTTTCTGTCTCTCCAGAAAGACGCTAATTGGGCCAACTTATGGGTCGCCCGTTAAGCAAGTCCTGATCCTCCCAGAGAAGTTCACAGATGACTCGCAGCAGCGATACTTGGCATTTATAAACAAAGACAAGGTGTGAGTCGTCCTAGACTTTCTGGGTGGGATGTGGTCGGTGGTATCAAGGAGACCCACAAGGACAAGGCTTGTTGTGGAATGATGGTGGAGGACAGACTTTGGGGGCAGAGGGCTGGCCTTCCAACCTGGCCATGCCCCTCACTTCCCCAGAGAATCCAGTGGTGGGGTGTCACTTTTCTTGGCCCCAGTTACGTCATCAGGAAAGTGAGGGGGTTGAGCTCAGTTTCTTTCTTGTTCTCAATCTGTGCTGCAGTCACTAGAGGCTAAGTTGTATGAACTTCTTCCCCATGCCCTGGCTGACCTTTTTTTGAAATAGTGCTTAGCAATGGCAGGTAGCATCAGCATGTGGGATGATCTGGTGGAAACTTCTAGGGCAGCAGTGTCTCTGCAGACTGTGAGAGGGCACCACCGAGGCCAAGGGCATTGGGGTGGGAGGGCAGGGGATTGACTTTGGGGTGTCTGTGCAGCAGGTGGGAAGGGGAAAAGGCCTGACACTCAGCAGGCTCTGGATGACCACTTTGGCTCTTGTGATAAGGGAGCTCACAGACCCATGTTACAGTGCCTGAATAGAGAGAAAACCAGCCCTGTTGATGTCTCTTACCAGGTTGGACTTCAGATCTTACCAGTTGATGGGAATCCCCACAAGACAGCTGCTATTATTTGCCACCCAGATGGGGTGTCCAACATGGCTCTTTCTTATGATGGCATCTACGTCTTCACTGCAGGAGGCGATGACCACACCGTGTTACAGTGGGAGATTAATTTAGGGTAAGTGATGACATCAGTGGACCCATCCTGCAGGTGAGCTAACCCGTATTCTACCTTCGAATGATTGTTAAACCTTAAAAGATTCTGGCAGGGGTCAAGAACCCAAGGGGAACTTGGGATAATTTTCTGACACTTGCCCCCTGCCCAGCTGTCTTGTCACCTGGAGACACGGTTTATCATGCCAGCTATCATTTGTCTCGTGGGCACAGGGCTTTACCCACATCCTCTTTGACCTTATGACGTAGCCTCGGATGGGTGGGTAGCATAGCTCCAACAGCCGCCGTCGGCTCCCCGCGGGTAACCGGCTTCTTTTTAGTGGCGCCCGTGGCATTTGTGCGGTCACAGAATTTCAGAGTTGGAAGGCACTTGAGTGGTCATCCAGTCCAACGCACACACCAAAGAAGCCAAATATAATAGAAAGTGAACGTTCAGTGGCCAAGCCAGGAGAGGATGTCCTCTTGTCCTTCACAGCACACATCTGCATGCACGCAGTCCAGATTTTTATCACTTTAACCAAAGTGCTCATTCTTTTAGAAGAGAGTTTTATTGATGTATCTCCATCTTGCCTGGGTTTCTCCCTGAATCTCTCACACACACCCCCGTTCCTGGAGACTGATCCCTTATAATCACTAATGTTTATACGCTGCTATAAGATTTGCAGAGCACTTTACATACTTTAACATATTTGATTCTCACAACAACTGAGTGAAGGAGGTGCTCTTATCCCCATTTTTACAGATGAGGAGTCTGAGGCACAGAGAGGTGAAGTGACTTGCCCAGGGTCCCACAACTAGGAAGTGTCTGAGGCAGGATTTGAACTCAGATCTTCCTGACTCCAAGTTATCCACTGCGCCACTTAGCTACCCCTGTAACAAAGAACTTTTTTTTTAAAGGAAAGAAAAACAAAAAAAAAAGAAGAAAAAAGAATCAGTAAAACCAATCATTGCCTCAAGAAAATCTGAAGTAATCTATAGTTCTGCACGCAAGGCCCTGGGCTATGCGGAAGAGCAGAGGGAGGTGTTTTCTCACATCTCTCTTTGGGGCCAAGCTTGTACTTGGTGATTTCAGACCATTCAGTTTTGGTTGTTTGCTTTTGTTGGTGTTTTTTTTTTGGTGAGGCAGTTGGGGTTAAGTGACTTGCCCAGGGTCACGCAGCTAGAAAGTATCAAGTGTCTGAGGCGGGATTTGATCCAGTTTTGGTTGTTTGGTGGCCGTTCTTTCAGTCTCATTGTTGTCGATACTGTATATGTTCTTTTCCTGGCTCTGCCGTGTTTTTCTGCATTGGCCGTGCTGGCCCTTTCTTACTGCACAATAATATTTCATTGCATTCGTGTTCCATAATCTTTAATCATTCCCCATCAAAGGACATCTGCTTTGTTTCTCATTTGTTACTGAAGAGGATGGGGGTTTTTGGGGTGCTTCTACATGCACAGAGGCACCTCAAGATGGCGGGAAAAAGGCCAGATCACGGCGCCGAATCTACCTGAATGAATTCAACTCAGATCTTCTTCCAGCCAGAGAAAAAGTGGGCATGGGGTCTCATCCTCTAGGGGCATGAGAAATTCCCAGCGCCTGAATGGGGGAAAGATGAGTCTTAAGTACAGAAAGATTGGGGAAGGGTCTAGGAGTGGCCAAGCAGCTTGGAGTGACGGGAGGAGGGGTCTAAGGAGATCTGGATGGGGGTGGTCAGCAAGCTGTGGGGAACGGAACTCCTGGGTCCTGGACCTTGTGGCACCTAGACTAGGATTAAGGGTAAGAAATGGCCAAAGGCCACAGGAAGGTGAAACAATGGGAAAGCCCAGTTTTGTTTGGAAAAGGGTCCAGGGGAGAATTTCCATGTCTGAGTGATTTCAACAGACAATGAGAATAGATAATTAAGGGAGCTGGAAAGGGGAAGTTTGCTTTTGAAGGGCTTTTAGAGGGAAATAAGGCAGTTTTTAAAACTTTAAGGGTTTCCTGGGACCAGTAAACAAAACTGAAGCCAGGTTCTTTTTAGGGGCTGGGAAGGAAAAATGTCAAAGAGAGATAAGTGAGTCTACAAGGAACCTAAAAGTTTTAAGGTTTTTCTGGGAATCGTAGGTAAACCTACCCCAAAGAGGTCCGCTGTAAATATTTCAGTATGTATGGAACCTTTATTTTTGTCAATGACTTCCACGGGGGAAGTGCCTCTCAAAGGGCAGGATCTTTTAGTTACTCTATTTGCATAATTCTACTAAATCGCTTTCCAGAGCTGTTGGACCGATTCATAGCTTCACCAACAATGCACTAGTGTGCCTGTCTTCCCACACACTTTCCAAGACTGACTGTTCCCACAGTTTGTTATCTTGGCCAGTTGGCCGGATGTGAGCTCAAATCTTACAGTTGTTTTCATTTGCATCTCTCTTCTCATTAGTTATTTGGAACACCCTTTATTCTAGTTATTAATAGCTTGCAATTTTTTTGGGAACTGTTTGCTCACATCCTTTGACCACCAAGTGTTAAATCTTTTATTCTAAGAAGTAAATTTAAAGAATTTAAGTTGACACACACAGAAAAACTGTGAAGAGAGGTGTGGTTGGCATGAGGGCAAGCTGCATACAGTAGGTTGTGAAGGACCAGTGGTGTGCAGGTCATCCTCAGAGAGACAGGACAAGGAGGCATTCCCGTCATGGGACAGGACTGAGGGATAACTGATGGACGCCCTGCATGCACCATCCGTGTCCATTTGTATTTGTGCAAAGCCAAGAGAGCTGGGGGAGAGCCCCTCCTGCCACGGAGCATTGAAGGGGGACGTGTCACAGGACTGTCCACGGATGCGTGGCAGTAGATGTCATTGGGGAGAGTGCCCACGATGATGAGGTCACAAATTCACCAGAGTATTAAGGAAAGGAGCCACTTCTCCCACGGCCTCCAAATCAGCTGGTTTTGTCCAGTCAATGGTCACAGGGAAAAAGAACCGAGTGAGTAGCAGGCGTCTCTGCCCCGACTTCCAGCCAGGCTTATCTTCTGCTCCCCTGTGTCAACCGGGCGCCTCTCCCCACCTGCTTTACGTCAGGGGACAGTAGAGAAAGCAAAGGCCTCCTTGTTTCCTAAGAAACTCTTGGTGGTCCTGCTCCAAACTCCCCCTACTGTGGGAGGTCAGAGCCCAGCCGCACTTTCTAAGGAGGATAGAAGGAAGAACAGTGAGCACAGTGCTTCGACCTGTGGTGTGACCTTGCAAGTATGTCCATTTAAACGTAGAGCCGGAACATAGAAGCTTCTGCCTGGAAGAGGCCTCTGCAGGACAGGGACCAGGCTGTGCCCCCGTGCTTCCCTGAGTGTGCCGAGCCACTCACTGTAGAGGGAAGGGAACGAGCATCGCTTAGGCACCTACTGTGCACTGGGCACCATGCTGAGCACCTTATAGATAGGATCTGATTCGGTCTCACTAATCAATAATGATTCGTGGTGGAGGAATGGATGGAGAGAAGCAATCTCAGGGAAAGAGCATGGGATTTGTAATCAGAAGAGCGAGATTCAGATCGCAACCCTAATCTTTTTCCTGTGTTCCCTCAGGGCCCCAGCCTCTTCACATGTAAAACGACTGCATTGGCCTAGACCCCAGGTTCTTCACCTGGGTTTTAAAGGCCTCTGCCAGCAGTGTCTCCACTTCACCTCCCATCCAGACCCCCGGAGGCTGGCTTTCAGCCTCATCATTCAGCTGAAACTACTCTCCCCAAAGTTACCCAAGGTGTCTTAATGGCCAGATCCAACAGCCTCTTCCCGTGCAGGCTTTGAGATTGTGGATCACCTTCTTCTCTCGGCTACTCTCTCCTCTCGAGGTTTTTGTGACACTGTTCTCTCCAGGTTCCCTGACTTCTTCTCAGCCTTTTTAAAATAGAGCTTTATCAGGGCAGCTAAATGGCACAATGGATAGAGTCTAGACCTTGGAGTCAGGAGGACCAGAGTTCAAATCTGGCCTCTGACACTTGACACTTATTAGCTGTGTGACCCTGGGCAAGTCACTTAACCACAGTTGCCTCACCATAAAGAAAAGCAAAAAAAAAAAAAATAGACCTTTATCCATGTCACAACCCACTCACCGTGTGAGGGTCACGCAAGGCTATGCATTGGGCCCTCTTCTCTTCCTCTGTATTATGTCCTTTGATGATCTCATCAGCTGCCGTGAATTCTGACGTAATCTCTATGGAGATGATTCTCCCACTGGTTATACAGCCCTAACCTCTCTCCTGACCTCTAGTCACACATCACCAACTGCTCATTTGATATCTTGAACTGGATATCCCATAAACATGTACAAGACAGAACTCATTATCTTAACCCCCAAGCCTTCTGTACTTCCTTATTGTCATAGGCACCACCATCTTCCCGGTTTCCCAAGCTTGAAACCTCAGTATCATCCACCTCTCCTCGCCCAGATTCATCCCATGTGTCCAATCGGTTGCTGAGTCTTAATGTTTCTACCTCTATCTCTCCCACACATCTCCTCCCCTTGGCTAGCATAGTCCCTATCATGGTGCAGGCCCCTTATCCCTTCAGCCAGGGGCTATGACAGTGACCTTCTTAGTGGTCTCTCCTTCCACTCGAACCCATCTTCCACTCATTGCCAAAGGTTTAGGTATGACCATGCGACTTCCTCTATTCAGTAAGTGGCTCCCTATTGCCTCCAAGATCCAATATAAAACCTTTCTGCTTGACTTTTAAAGCCCTTCCCAACCAGGCCCCTTGCTACCTTTTTCATCCTTCCTTTCTCATTCCCCAACACATACTCTACCATCCAACAACACTCATCTCCTTGCAGTTTTTTGCACACAGTACTGTGCAATAGCTTTTCACTGATTGTCCCCCAGGCTTGAAAAGTTCGCCTTCACACACCCTCCCTTCCTTCCAGACTGGCCTCAAATCCCATCTTCTTGAAGAGGCCTCTCCTGATCTTCCCACCTGCCGGTGCCTTCCCTCGGAGATTACTGCTCATTTATTTACATTGTAAATATCTCATATGTACATAGTTGTTTGCATGT